GGCGCCTGACTAGGCCTTCAATCGAGTAATGGCCATCAGGGGCATATGCTGGCTGGAAACCGAGGTAGACCGGACGAAGGTCTAGGAGCAATGGCGTGTTGTTTGGTTCGCCAGGTCCTCCAGAATAATCTTCATCCAAAGCAAGGAGAACTGATCGTGTCAATCTGCCGAGGTCAGCAAAATCTCGCACAGGGGGTGAGACCGGCTGGAGGCGCAGGCTATCGCTGCGGAGGCCAACAGCTGCTGCAATGTCAGCCCGGAAGTGCTCAAGGCGGCTGCGGTTGACATCATACAAGATGGGGGCCGTGTCAGTCACGACCCATATGCGATCATCATAACGCCCGGCAAACGCATCCTCAGCGCTCCATCCATCGGAGTCGCGGAGCATATCAGGTAGCTCAGGGAGAGCAGGCATTTCGTAAGAAGTCGGTGCTATGGTAATAAGATCGCCATCCGTGACGTTGACACGGCCACCTGTTTCAAGGGGCCAAGGAGAACCACCAACATGAATGCGAACCTGAAGTGTGGGGTCAACATCAGCAATGGCCAATATGGAACCGTATTCCAGGGAACCTGGCACACAAACAGCGAACAGGCGTTCGTCAAGATTACGCGCATCTATCAGTATGGTACGTTGTACTGCAGGCCAGTCTGGTAGCGCGAGCACTGTGGCGAACCTGGTGTCCGGCTGTGGGGTGACCGGAGCGAGGTGAGGAAAACGACGTTTGTCTTGCTCCCAACGTCGAGCTGCTAGCTTCTCAAGAAATAGATCTGGGGAAACAGGAAGTGTAACCTCAAGCTCGTGCAGCTCGGGGAGGTAGTCAGGTACAACTATGATGACCTGAAGCGGTTCAGGACTTGGATCCCCAGCAGGGTGTGTCTGAGGAGCTGCTTGTAGCAAGCCAGGCATAGCCTCCTGTACTGCGAGCAACGTGGTGGTGATATCAGGCGCTCGGATGTGCACCGATTCCCCATCAAGAAGGAGAGTGGGCGGCAGCACGTCTGTCAGCAACGTGGGTCTGCGTATGCACTCTATGACAAAGACCTGACCTGGAGCAATGGGAACTATTGCATCGTTGGCAAGGCCAGAAACAAAAACGTCGAAGCCCAGCGGTGCTGTCACCCTGAGGTGTTGCAATAATTCCTCAACCAGAAGCTGGCGATCCCAAACAGGCCATGTTGCCCAACCCTCGAGAAGGGCACGCGAGTCAAGAATAACAAGCTGGGATCTGTCTGTTTCGCCATGGTGGCGTGTGGCGATGGCAATGGCAGTGCGGCAAGCAATGCCGTCAATCTCAGCATCGTTTACCCTAGGTGAAGCTGGCACAACCACAACATCCCTGTCTAGGGCCCCGATCGCGGCCGCAAGATGTTGCCGGTATCGAAGCGGGTCTCTAATATCAACCTGTAGCCTTCGATGACTTTGATTGTGTATCAGACAATAGGCAGCTTCTTCATGAGGAGGAGACCAGCTGGGTTCGGACCTCCATGCGTTGGCATACAACAGGCTTGTTGGCAGATCCCACGCCACCGCTAGCTCGGCATCGGGGGGAAGAAAGAACACTGCTGTGCCGGTGGCAACTTGGATAGTAGCGGTGCCTGTCAGAGGAACAGGGTCATGCCCAACAAACACGCAGATGCGGGGTGTGTCAGGTAGGTCCGCAAGGTCAAGCAGGATAGATCGGTCAACGTATGTAGGCGCTTGTGCAGCATACATGCGGCCATCAACGGCAGTAGCATCAAGGCAAATCACGACTGCGTTTTGCTGCCAATGCGGGGTTGCCACAAAGATGCCAAGGCCTTCAATCCTTTGTGGGAGGATGTGAAAGAGGTATGGGAACCTGCGGGCTTTCTCTGGATCCCGCGCTTGTTGGATGCTGTGCAGGACGTCTGCCAGGACGGTTGGAAACCGCACCGACACAGTGAGATGTTCTGGGGTATACTCAGGGACAAGCACAATGAAAGCAACCCAGCGAACAAGTTCATCGGCCGCATCCTCCCCTGTCTCATCTTCGGAAAGGGGATCGAAAGGCAGCGCAGGGAGCGGCCACGATAGGGCCACGCACCCCCAAGCTGCATTGTGATGCGTCGCAGGGTGTTAAGGAGGACACCCTCGGCGGCGGAGCCGGGGTTTGGCTCACTAAGCATCCGTTGTTTGCGCACAAGATGCTGGAAAACACCAGAAAAGTTGGCAAGTTGATCAACGATGAGGCAGCAGTGAGAGTCTCCCCCAACCAGAAAAGGGTGGGGTCCAGCATTGAGGACACGCAAAAGGCTGTCAAGTGCCCGACGGTCAGATGCAGCTGGCAGGACAATGCTGGCAGCGGGTGTACCGGGGCCTAAACCGAAGGGGTAGGTCACTTCAGTTAGGGCAGTGCCTGCCTCGACTGGCAGGTAACAGTGCAATCCTCGATCGGGCTGTCGTCGGACTACAGCAGAGGTGGTACAGTCTCCCCTGGGAACCCCTTGAAAAAAGGGGTGTTGGGGTACTATCTCTAGAACCTCGTCTAACCAGTCCCCATGATAGGAATGATCTGAAGGCGAACGGGGCGACGGGCCTTGGCTGCTGCGACGCCTTCGGCTTCGAGACCTGGTGGTAGCCTCGGAGTCGTGACTGTGTGTCTCATCGTCACCATCATCCCCATCCGAATCGGAATCATCGGTAGTTGCATCGAAGGATGAAGGAGAAGGTGTGTCTGAGTCCGGGACAACATGTTGGAACCCGAAAACGAGGACCCCGAGATGATTAACATCAAGGTGGTGCCTGCGGCGCCTGCCTCCTTTGACCCTGAGACGCCATCCAGGTGGCGGCCGTCTGGTGACATATGCGGGAAGGTCCTCAAGTGGTATGCGCGGCTGACTCAGGACAACGAATTGTATGCCCTCGGCAAGTTGCCTGAAGTCTAGAAACACAACACAACGAGGATCGTTGGCATTCTCGACAACAGCAATGACGCCCCTGACGTCAGACCCCTTATACTGAAAGTGCTCTAGGCCGGGCTCTGCTGGCGCGAAAAAGTCAACCGTATTTCTCTCAACTCCAATGAAGAGAGCTGCTGCAACATCATGTGGGACGGCACTGGGTCGAGAAGCAAGGAGATATCGCCCCGTTCGATGAAGGAGTAACAAAGAGGCCCTGGTAAGCGACTGTTTGGGGAACCTGGCCGGTATACTCCAGATTGCCGGGAACTGCAACCTATACTGCAGATCGTTGGCAGCAAAGGGGCGTTGATCGGACAGCATTAGGGTGACAAGGCAGCCATTTGCAAGAACTACTGACTCGTCGTCAGCAAGCGGCACCTGATCAGTACCCACATATACATTGCAAGGCCTAGTGCCATAAACACCCGCGACTCTGCAGATCTCTGCCCGGCTCGTCGGCCTGGTAACGCAAGATGCCACGATAGGGCCTTCCCCTTCTGGCTGCATCCCTCGCATATCAAGGCAAATGAGGGTAAGGGCGGCGTAAGATGTCCAATCGGGAGCACGAACATAAGCTGCGCACGTTGGAAAGGGTTGTGGCCTGACCGGAATAGCCCTGCTGCAAAATGGCGGACACGTATGCTCGGTAGCTCTCTCAACTACATCGGTAGCATCTTCTATGTCGCAGGGCACTCCGATATGAAGCTGCAGTACCTCGGGTTGATATCCCGGGGCGGCAACCCATACTGGAAAACTTACATCAACAGTTTCTGCAGGTCTGGTATGCTGAGCCCGATTATCTATTTCGAAGCGCACTGGTTGGGGCGGTGGTGGTCCTTGCGGGACGCGCCCTACATGTGAATCAATGTAGTCAGGCACCTGCCAACCAGGCATCCCTGGAGTTGCGGCCGCTACTTGCTGATGCAAGTGCACAATGTCAGGAAGGCCCTTAGGTGCGGCCCAAACGCATATCGGAAGCTGCCAGAAAAGCAAGCCCCAAAGCAGGTGCCATAACCCTTTGGTGGGGGCCGTTGTCATGACAAGGTGTCGTGGAATCTGCCGCCTAGGAGGGGGCCGCCAATCTAAGACGGGTGGCGCACTAGGGGAAAAACTCCAACAACGGAGAACGCTAGCAGGAACTCCGGAGAGAGGGGCGCTACAAACAACCCCTATCTTAGAGGACTGGCCTTTCCACGCTCGAAGACACAAATGTCCAAGGCAAAAAAGCGTAAGCAATGCGCCTGTCCGGGCAATGGGAAGAATGATGCGAGTGACGAGGTCACTGAGGTATCCTAGTATCCAAACACAGGCAGGTACGGTAGACATCCCTGAGCCACCGATATGTCTTTTTGGCACCTTAACCTGACCTGTATAGGACACCGAAGCGGCGTGGTATAAATCCAACGCTGTGACTTGAGTAGATGGCTCGATGGTGCAGCCTAAAGGAGCGGCGCAATTGCATCGTAAGCACAAACCACTCTGGGTGAGGGCGCAGCCATTGTTATTGAAACTGGAGGGCTGGCCATAAAATGCTGGGTCTATACCCAGAACAAGGATTCCAAAACTAGAGGGGTCGCCAAAAAGGGCGCCTTTAACCTCAAGTGACCCAAGCCAATGATTGCACGGCTCTTTGAGATCAGCTTCTAGAAGCAGTCTGATGGCCAAAGCCTGGGCGCCATAGGGAGAACGGTTGTCCGAGATTATAGGGCGGAAGTCCAGGCAGCAAGCGCAAGTTCCTAAGGTAGCACAAACCCAATGCACCCAAGGTACGGCAGAGGACAGAGGCCGAGGTGTGTCCGTTGCAGGGGGGGAGTCTGGCAGGGTGACTTCGGTGGTGGATCGACAGAGAAATGCATATGCGTGGTGGCGCACATGCGTAGGAAAGCAGCCTACCCCGCTAAGCTCTGTACAACTGTACACTGCGCTCAGTGTGCTCTCAGAGGGATCGTACTTGCGACAAGCCTCAAGAGCGGCAAACAATCTCCAGGGCAACGGCTTTCGTGAACTCACACCTGGATCCCATGGTGAGCTCAAGGAAAGCGGGCCCCTTCGACGTACCGAACCTGAGCTCATTGTCGTCAGGACATGGCTTCCTTCACCAAGGCTGCCGCTGCCTCCGTGCCACCGGAGGCGTCCAACTCGTCGTCTGAATCGTCCTCCTGTATCTCGATACGACGTCCTTGCGTCTTGGCGCCGCCGAATTTAAAGGTTTCATGGCGACGCGCTCGGCGGCCCGCCTTTCTTCCAGCTTTTCTCCAAGGGTCTTCCCTGCAACAAGCTCCGCGGCTGGGCCCGTAGGTCTCGAATCTTGCTTCACGTCTCCTCGTGGAGCTTCCACGTGAGTCGGAAGTCTCGGAGTAGACGGGTCCCTGCGACCTGTATGGGCTGGGGGTCGGCCCGGTGTCATCCCAAGAGTCATCTCCTCCAGCGATCCAGCCAGAGCGCCAGGGGATGGGGCCACAGGACCCTGCGGAACAAGATAGGGGTCCGCTGCACACAGAGGGCTGATGGGCCCGACTTCGGTCTCCATGGGCTCTATCAATCCTCTGGCTGTAGCCGCTGACCTTGGAAGGGGCGACCTGTCCGGAATGACAGGCGTCCTCACTGGCGTTCTGAACGCTTCTGCCGCACGGGCGGTGAGCGCCCGTCGTAAGACCTCTTCGTTGCCATACTCGAGCTCCTGCTCCCATTCTCTTGTTAGTCGGTCCCATTCCTTCTCGGCTGGGTCTGGCTGTATCGCTGCCGGGGCCGTGTTGGGGAGCACGGCACGCTGCACATCCATTCTGGCCTGCTGCTGGATGTGAAGGGCCTCCTCGAGTTCCCTTTGCATGCGCTCCTGGTCCTTGGCAAAGCGTTCTTTCTCTTTCAGGTATGTAGTCCGTAGATCTTTCTGAAAGCTCGCGTATTGTCTTTTGCCCCTTTCTATAGCCGCCTGAGTCTTCGAGACTTTGTTCTCGGCTTTGCGGGCTATGTTCAGGAGGGCCTGGAACGAGCTGAGGCCTCCATCCTCGCGTGGTCCAGGTCGCTCTGGTCCTTCTTCCACATCGGTCGGCGCCGGGCGGGAGTTGTAGGCAGGGAACGAAGCTTTGGGCTCCGGTCGTGTACGCCAAGGCGCAACAGTAGGTGACGCTCCATGCCAGACTTGCCAATTGCGCGCACCAGCCCCACCGCTGTCGGATCCTTGGCTGGACCATGTCTTGCCGCCCCGACCTCCGCGCCCCATGAGGTGCGTCAGTCTTGCGCGAAACTCTGGTGCAGTGGCGTGATGTCGCGCCAGCTGTCGCAGACGCTTCCTGTTGGGCTGGAAGCCCTTGGCCAGTGCCCTCCGTGTGGTAGATCGTCGTCTCCGCTCGCGCCTGTGCCAGGTCGGCGAGTGGCACCCGATGGCGCCGCGGGGGATGCACCTCCTTGGGTGCGTGGGGCAGAGTGTTCCTACCGTACCTGCTGGTAGGCGATCTGAGCCCTCGTAGAATAGTATTGGTAATTATTGATTTAGGCCCTAAACCCTAAACCCTAAACCGTGTACAGAGTTTAGGGTCTCAGAGAATTCAGCCCCAAGCCTCGTACCAACAGTCTATCCCCGTTATTGGGTTTGGGGCTTATGGTTCATAGGGCTTGCAGGGTTTATAGGGTTTATAGGGCTTATAGGGTTTATAGGGTTTATAGGGTATATAGGGTTTATAGGGTTTGGGGTTTAGGGCACCCACTCATCCCAGAAACCCTAAAACCCTAATCCGCGCTGAGGTGCAAAAAGGTTCGCACAGCGGAACTCCTCGGGAATGCCTTTGTAGGCCATGGGCTGTGGCAGGTCTCAGGTCCGCTTTTAGGATTCAGGGTTTAGGGTTTAGGGTTTCGGGTTTTGGGTTTAGGGTTCAGTTTTTTTTTAGGGTTTAGGGTTCAGGGTTTAGGGTTTAGGGTTCAGGGTTTTAGGGTTTAGGGTTTGGGGTTTAGGGTTTAAGCCCTGCCCCAGATAACCCACTACCCCTAACTAAGGAATATACCTCAAACCAGAATATTGAGGCCCTTCTAGTTTAAGGTATATTCCATAATTAAGGGGTATTGGGTTCTCTGGGGCTACAGAGGCCTTCATGGTTCAGAAAGAGCACAGGGTGTCAGGGAATATTATACTACGCAGTCTGATCGGGATCCTTAGTGGTACAAAGCTTGGAGCTTGCTTGGAACTGCTCTATACATGAACTAGTCGTATTGCGGACTATACAGGAGGTATGGCCCTACAAACCCTAAACCCAAAGCCCTACAAACCTTAAACCCTAAACCCTACAAACCCTAAAGCCTAAACCCTACAAGCCCTAAGCCCTAATTCCCATGGTCCGACCCCTCTGGGCATAGGAAAATTGAAAGGTCTTGTGATTTGCATGGCCAAGAGCCCGGGGAGGCTGAAAACCGGCCAGAAGCCCTCTCCCTAAACCCTAAACCCTAAACCCTAAACCCTAAACCCTAAACCCTAAACCCTAAACCCTAAAGGGCTTAGGGGGTTCAGGATTCGGGGTTCGGGGTTCAGGGTTTGTGGTTTCGGGTTTTTGTTTGGGGCTTATAGGGTGCAGGGTTTCGTGTTTAGGGCTTAGGGGGTTTAGGGTTTCGTGTTCAGGGTTTCGTGTTTAGGGCTTAAGGGGTTAGGGTTCGAGGTTCAGTTTTCGCGTTTAGGGTTTAGGGTTCGGGGTTACGGCACTTCCATATGTGTTCGAACACAAAGCTCACACTAAGACCAACCTGGACGGACCATGCGTCAACCATCGCCGCTGTTCCTAAGCAGAATCTGACTGCTGCTGCAAACGCTGCCAACATGACTAGCACTCAACCTCAGACCTCAGATCCTATCCCAAACCCCCTAAACCCTAAACCCTAAACCCTAAACCCAAACCCCGGAAGCCCTAAAGCCTGGAAGCCCCAGACCCAAAGAACGCCGACTCAACGATCCGACCCATGAGAATCCCATCAACTACACCCCTCCCTTCTGATGCCTCATATTATATAACCCTTACATATCTGACCCGAAAGAACCTACCCTTTTTAAGGGAGACCCTACAACCCCCTAATTTAGGGTTTAGGGTTTAAACACCAAACCATCCACACTGAAACCCCAAAGTCTCTCCAAGCCCTACGTTTAGGGTTTAGGGTTTAGGGTTTAGGGTTTAGGGTTTAGGGTTTAGAGGTCCCGGCGACATTCCTGCAGAGCCATGTGCATCCGTTCCGGCATTGACTCCTGAGCCATCTCCTTGACCTGAAAAGGTTCAGAGGTTTGAGGAACCCTAAACCCTAAACCCAAACCCCGAAGCCCTAAACCCTAAACCCTGAACCCTAAACCCTAAACCCTGAACCCTAAACCCTAAACCCTGAACCCCAAGCCCTAGACCCCAAGCCCTAAACCCAAAGCCCTAAAGGTATCAGGTTCAGGGTCCAGGTCTAAGAGTTGAGGGTTCGAGGCTTTGGGGTTTAGAAATTTAGGGCTTAGGGAGTTTAGGGTTTAGGGTTCAGGGTTTGGGACATTGGGCTTGTAGGGCTTCGGGCTTCGGGGCTTTGGTATTATTGGGGTGTTGGGTTTAAGATGAACTCTGCTTCCTCTCAAGCCTGGTAGATCAAAGCCTCACAGTTCCAAGCAGCCTTCTTCTGGTCAAAGTACTCCAGGAGGCCTGAATGATAGATCGGCAATCCACGAGATTGCAGGTGATTTCCAATCGTAACTTATAAAACTTGATTCGCAAAATAAGCTACGCAAGTTCATGCAAGCCAGAGTGTCTTGTCATGTTCCCCTAAACCCTACACACAAAGCCCCTGATACATTGCGAAGAATTTGGAGCAAACTTTCGTGCTTCTGCCCTAAACCCTAAACCCTAAACCCTAAACCCTAAACCCTAAACCCTAAACCCTAAACCCTAAACCCTAAAGCTTCTGCGCCCCGTCCTCCTGCCGACATGTCCCGCCATTTCCAGTGCGCCACCACGAAGGGAACCTGGGGATCCGACATTTTAGTAGCATGATAGTTTATGACGACGGTTTAGAGTTTAGGGTTTAGGGTTCAGGGTTTAGGGTTTAGGATTTAGGGTTTAGGGCTTAGGGTTTAGGGTGTAGTAACTTACGGTATATTGTTCGTATACCAGTGCACCAGTATACTGTGATAGCTTTTCTATGGCTCCCGGGATAGGATGCTCACGCTAAATATCATGTGATCATGGTCGCCCTGATGGCCATGATGACTGGATGGCAGATTCTGCTCATGATGGCAATGGAAGAACAAGAACCCGCATGAGGATGATGGAGATGATGTTGGTGATGGTGATAATGATGGTGAGGCCGGTGATGATGATGGTGGTGGTGGCGGCGGCGGCTCACGAATCAGCGGTAGTGATGATGTTGATGATGATCAGCAGGATGACGTTGATGACGGGGGCGATAACGACGATGATGACCATGATGATGGCGACGACAACGATGACGATGACGATGGCACGCTCCGCTCAGCTTGTTTGTCACACACGCCCGGGTCACAAAGCGCCCAAGTCACGGAAGGCGAAAACCCAAATCACAAAATCCCTAAACCCTGCCTCAGCGCCACCCAGAAATCCGCGGATTATGTCGTTGGCGAGCCTCGCAGTGAATGGCACTAGGGCAAGAGTGTTTGGACAGACTTGAAGATCTTGTCCAGGGTTGTGGCCATTATGGTTGGGAACTAGGTTTCAACTGCTTCTGCAATGAATGTTAAGCATGATGCTCAGAGGGACCTAGTTGGGATTCAGCAATGCCTTCGAGGCTTTTCGATCATATTTTTGGACTTTACGGCGCTTGATCGAAAACAACCCTCGGATCGCACTTCGCTACTGTTGGTATCTTCTTAAGGCTTACGACCAGACATCCTGGACCTGAAGCCCAAAGGCCCTGACCCCCTAAACCCTAAACCAGAAACCCTAAACCTCTCAACCCTAAACCCCTAAACCCCTAAAACCTAAACCCCTAAACCCCTAAACCCTAAACCCTGAAACCCAAGCCCTTACAGTCCGGGTTGCTCTTCAAGCACTGGAAGAAACTTCAAGGCGC